AAACTAGAGATAAATGACTTTTAAATGGATAGCATGTATGCTGTTTAATTGCCAGGAAGTAATAAGCATTTTGAATTGAGTAAGATTGAAGATCTTAAATTCTATAGTTTAAACTTGCTACATGTTTTAGATTTTAAAACACAAATTTTTTCTTCGAAGAATTCTACCATGTTCAAACTTCTAGAAGTGTGAAAAAGAATGATTCTGTCTTCTCCTCTCGTCATCTTTTCATTCTTTTCTTTTCCTGTGACATAAAGTGACATATCCAAGTGCTGGTCCTTCATCAGATTTTTCTATGAGCAGTAGAGCAGAAAGCTGTAATATCTATTCATTCGTAATGTGTCATTCTGAATGTATTAGGGACAATTGACTTCACATGTCATAGGTAATTAGAAAAGTCACCTTCAGTCCCAGGCTATTTAAATCCAGCACTATATACTTTTAATGAGCACAAGTGTTGATGTCTTTCAGCACGTCTGAACATCTTTGTACCTTTTATTTTATAGTGGGCAAAGTATTTCCATAGCCATTTGACATAAAGGATTAATTGAAATCCATTTCCTCTTCTTTAATTTCGTTTTATTTATTCTTCTCTCATACAATACATCCTAACTGCAGCCTCCTCCCCCTCCACTCACTCCTCCTAGCTCACTCACACCTCCCCTCTCCTCCATTTCTTTTCAGAAAAGAGCAGCCCTCCCAGGGATATCAAGCAAACAGGGCATAAGAAGATGCAGTAAGTCTAGGAACAAACCCTTATATCAAGGCTGGATGAGGCAACCCAGGAGGAGCAAAATGATCTCAAGAGCAGGCAAAAGTATCAGATTGTGCATGTGAATGTCACCACGCTAATTGTTACAAATCAGATGATTTATTTATGTCCCATGATTTTGTAAGCCAGAATGTTCTGTCCATGGACATCATTTTTCCAGGCTCACCTGTAGCAAAACAAGAGAGAGTAATAGTTGTGGGGAATTGATTGTTCTCCGACCACAGGGAACAGGAAGCAACAACTTGATTCTTAAAGTTCTGCCCTTGAGAGAATTGCACTAAGCTTAGGATTGGAGGCCAGTGGGATTCTCTGAAGGTGACAGAACTGTCCTTCAGATTATCTCAGCTCAGCCATAGTCATCCAGATGGTCAGGCTAAAGGAATATGTAGATTGAACTTTTCAGGCTGAGTCATGGGTGGTCACTTTTCAGACATGTTCAGACCTGACCCATTCTTTGGTAGAATACGGTATTTAGCATGCATTTGTCTTCCAGGTAAGATGCCATTACCATAGGAAAATTCCTAATACTTGTGGACCTGACTCCAAACAGTCTCCTTGCTTGATACCATGCATCAGCCAGGTTTGGGGGTCTCCTTCACTAAGGCTCAAATAGCATGATACATGGCCTGTCACACCCTGCTTCTTAAAAATACTTATTTCCTTTGGCTTTCATAGCATCAAACTGTTCTGTCCTTTCCTAAAAGCACCACTCATATGTGGTCAAATACAAATGATACCCAAGAAAAGTTAGACAATGCATCCATTTTAGGATTACTAAAGCCACGATTCCTAAGAAAAGAAAGTAACTCAAATATGAAGGAGACTTGTGTCTGTCCCCTGAATAGTCCATAATGAGAGCTTATGACTGGTCAGTTCTTCCACACAGTAACTAAGGGTCAGTGCTCCTCCATTATCACAGGTCCACCATAACCACTCTGTTTGTCCACCCAAAAGAGGAAGATCAAAAGAAACACATTTCACCTTATAGTCCACCATTCTGAACGTAGTCACACCATCACATTTGACTTCCAAGGAGTCAGAAGAGCATTCTCTAGACTTGGTTCCAAGCAACAAGATAGAAAACAGATTTCAAGAGGCATCTAAAAGATCTATTTTACAATACATTAATATCATTTATATACAAAGGAACAAATGCAAAAAGGTAATGACTAAATAACATGTATATATACATATATATACTATTTATGTATATATTGTATATAACATCTTCATATATACACAAATCAATATTCACATATATACATTTATACATGCATATATATTATTTTACCAAAAGAGACAAACACAACACCACTAAAGAGATGGGAAACTTCAAATAACAATTTCACACAATTGTTACTCTTTGAAAATGTGCTAATACTAAGGGCTGATGAGTATTTGGGAAAGCATCAGTCTTATACATTTCTGATGGAAGTGTAAATCATTAAAAAAAATAATCTGTCAATGTATACTACCAGAAACTACTTAACAGAAATCTAAACTTTAGAAAATGGCTGATAATTGGTTCTCCGAGATACGTTCCAGGATTCTGAAAGACCACTCATTCAGCTGCCAGAGGGTCACAACTGCATCCCTGTTCTAGAATTTTCCTCCACGCAGAAAGCTGTTTTACCTCAAACATGCCCAGTTCCTAAGGGTCAGCCCACTTGGAGACTGGTCAGCACTGAAGGTATAAAGCCTGGTCCTTTGATTTCACAGGGTATATCTATTGAGGACCAGCACCTTGAATAAAAAGCACATGATTTCTCTTCCAAGTGTCTACGAGGACCATCATATATCAGAGTTACAGAATTCAGGAACAAAGTTGTTTTGTTAGGCGATCAGTAAGTAACTCACAGAAAAAGAGTGGCAGGTTTCAAGAATTTTGGAAACTAGTTTCAGACATGACCCACAATGTTGGAAGGTCTCTTATTGGCTTGTTTTATTAATGCATTTACTTTTTTGAGGCAGGATCTCACTGTGGATTCCAGGCTGGGTTTGAACTTGTGATCCTTCTGCCTGAGAATGCCAGGATTCTAGACTTGCACCACTATTCCAGGTTGAAAAGTTTCACTTACTGGTTTATCTTATAGTGTAAAGTGCTCCTTATATGACAATATACATGTAGAAGACTTAGTCTAACGGCCACAGAACAATCACTGGTTTTTGTTTTATTAGTAGATTTCATCTAGTATTTAGGTATAACTGGTCACAGGCAACTTGTTTGTGTTTTGTCCTAGGTGATGTGTATGCTTGTAGCTTTATTTCACGTTCCTTGTGCAGTGTTCTACATTCAATCCATGTAACAATTTTCTAAGGTGTCAGATGATTACTGGTGCCCATTTTACAGATAAAGAAACAGTTGGTAGAATATTTTTAAAGTATCGCTTCTCAGCTGTTCATTATAAGGCTGTACCTTCAAGGGAATTCTCTTATCACTGAGAGTGGCTATGTCCTCTCCAGGCAATTTTTAAAATGAAAATCCGCAGGAAAATTTGAGGTTGCTTTCTTTTGTAGTCTTTCTTTTTCCATAACTTCAAAGCTGGGATTTGTTCTGAGAGCAGGCTTGCATCAGCATCATCACATCTTAAGGACCCTTGGAGGCACTTCCCTACACTAGGGATCAGAAAGGAGAGATGCTTTCTGAGCAGGTCTACATCTCTTTATAAAGTTTGTGATGGGTTGAGAATATTTTGGCCATGGTTACTCAATAAAACATAAAATGTTTTTGCCACTAAAAGCAGTTGGGAATTTGCAAAACTGTGGAGAGAAGGAGAGAGAATGATTGAGAGAGAAGTGACCAAACTCTCCAGACCTACCATCCCATTTCTGAAATTGGAAAACTCTTTCCTTTGAGTCTAAGGTTCACTTGCCCTGACCACGCAGTAGTGACCTGCCTGAAGGACTGTACCAAGCCTGTAGGAGATTCACTGCCCTGGGGCTGTTTCCCATCTGCCCCTCCCATGGAAGTCAAGCAAATTACAATCTCCTATCTCTCCTCCTCCTGAACACGCATCCGACAATGATCTTTTCATTGTAATTATTGCTGGGAAGTAACCAAGGTGTGGCTTTAGAACACCCAGTTCTCTTGGAATTGTAAAACTGCTCTGAGGAAGCCTTAATTTTGCTCCCTAAGATTAAAGACAAGGAGTCCTGCTGTTTCAGAAAGATCTTTGTTCCAAATGCAATCTGCAGTTCTTTCTGCCCATTGGTTCGCCAACTGTATCCAACCTAGAGGTGGGCTCCTCCTCCCTGTGGATTCATAGCTGAGGCTACAGAATCTGGTCCACAACTGCTACACCGACTGCTACATTCTTACTTAATGGATACACAATGTGTCACAGCATAGATCTAACTTTTGATCATTAGAGTTTCTACTAGTAGAGACAAGTTTTTACAAAAGTTATATAACCCCATATCTATTACTTTGAACCCCAGGCTACAGATAAACCTCTCTCCTTTTCTCCCTGATGTCTGGAGCACTGGAAGACACAATTCCTTTGAAAACAATGTTTCCACACCCAGTCTCAAGTGAACAAAGGACATCTCTTTTATCTTTGGGTCTCATTAAAGTGGCAGCAAGTGGGTTTCCAGGAGCCCCAATCCTTTCTGTTTTTCTTCTTATCCGTCACCTTGGACCATAACTGGGCTAGAGTCCTGTCACCTTCCTGAGCCACCCCACAGGCATAAGCATAGAGGGGCTGAAAGGGCTTCCCAGGCGGGGTGACGATATAGCATCTACTCTTGCACGCAGTGGACCTAGAACCTTGACATTCTTAATTAAGGAACCAATACGATGCTTAGTGGGTAAGAGTGCTTGCTGCTCTTCCACAGGACTCAAGTTCAGTTACCAGCACCCACATCCAGTGCCTCTTAATCACTATAATTCCAGCTAAAAGGGACCCATAGTACCTTTTTCTGGTCTCCAAGGCCATCCCACATACACACTGCAGACGTACAAATACACGCGTGCACACGCACACACACACACACACACACTATCTTTAAATTTTTTCCTGATTGAAAAATACAGGTTGGAGTTTCCTTTGTAACAACTATGAACTCTCACAAGGGCCAGACACATGTGAGTAACTCTATGTGAGCCTTCCCACAGAATGGAGGATGTGGTGAGTGGCTGTGTAAGGAGGATGCCTCTCTCTTTCTCTCTCTCTTTTTACTTTTCTTTTTTTTCCCTAAGAAGCAAATTAACTTCTTATTCATTCCTCAGTCTAACTTAGCAAATGAGGCCATCTGCATTCAAGAAATGACTGAACCTTACAGCATGTGCCACAGATTCTCAGTATCACCATTTTAACAAAAGACAAGAGAGAAAAAGAGGAGTGATCATCAAACGGGCTGAAATTCTGTACAAATAGCAAGCAGATGAACATAGCAAGAGAATCCTCTGGGGTCCTGCTCCGAATGCTCCCAGAACCGGGCCTCCTTTTCCGTCTTCCCTGTGCCAGTGGAGAGCTCGGGTGACCCTGGGTCTTCCCAGTCAAAACACACCTGTCTTCAAAGAGCCATATGCTTGGAAACGGAGTTTATCCCTCGCTATACCCTAGGGAAGGTCTGCACCGTGTGTCTCTCTTCAAGTAAGTACACAAAGAGATGCAAAGCATCCGCAGGTAGGCATCTCCTGGCATCCAGAAGTTTGTTCCCTCCACTGCTGGGAGATCTTGCTACAGCAAGCAGACAGCAATGGCCTCCTTGGCAATCGTTATTTAATTGTAAGATCCTGGATATTAAGTGATAAAAGGAATACACTGGCCCCAGAGGTTCTTATTTTAGGGTTTTTCCCCCTTTTCATTCCTACTAAAACAGAATATGTTCAAAATTTTTAAAAATGTGCCTTTATAGACACAATGATTTTTGACAGAATATCCACTAATTGCAAATGAAAGAATAACCAACCATTCTCATCCTAGACTAAATGCTATAGGGCATTTTTTTAGAACAGGGAACATTCTTCACATTTCCCAGGGAGTGAAAAAGAAAATTAAAAGCGTTACAAATTAGTCCTTTAATGTTTTAAAAGAAAGTACAATGGACAAACCTCACAGTGTGATTTTTTTCCCTCTGAGGAACCAATGAAGATCTCTGTGGCTCGTGATATTTTTAATTCATCTCTGGACTTTCTCCAGGAAATCACTAATAATTACTAATTGTATTTTTGTAAGTTAATGAAAGGACGCATTCTTTTGGCAGGCCTTCCCTCCACTCGTGTAATTAATGATGTTGCTTCTTGACATGACTGAGCAAAGTGACAATACAGAGCATGGGTTAACTTAGAAGGCCTCTTTGTGTGGTCTTACAAAAAGCAAGTGTAAAGTCGAGTCATGCAACTGTCTTAAAAGAAACTATTTATTCCTTCATCCCCTCCCCAATTTCTGCTGCTCCCATTCCTTATGGCACTAGCCAAAAGTTGTTCTAAATATAGATCTCCATTGATCAACAACCATATTTGCAAAAACTATATAAATAGAGTTTCTATAGAAACTTACTCTAGGGGATTTAATTCAATGAAAATGACAATGAAGTAACAAGTAAAATTTCCGAAGCTATCAAGGCTCTCAACTAACTTTGGCTTTATCAGGCATTCTTAGCGCTACTTTTTGCCCCTTCCTCCGTCACCCTTTGTATTACTCTCTCTCCTCCCTCACCAGTTAAAGCCTGCTGCCCTGTTCTCCCCTGTACACTCACAACACTTGCCTCATTAGCCTCCTCTTTAGACTTCCTTCTCTACCACTCCCTGCCATGGTCTCCCTCTACTTTCCTGGCTTCTGTAGTTACATCAGGTTATGTGCTAAAATTCAGAGATATTGAGCCAGGATCCACAAATAAAAGCCACTATGTGACATTTGTCTTTCTGGGTCTGTTTCCTCCTTCAATGATCATTTCCAGGTTTGGCACTATAATATACCACTAATTGGAGGTTAATTTCATCTAGCTTAGTGTCACTACATGGGACCACCCACAGCTCACTGTATTTCCTTCTTGATGCCTTGAAGGAGCTATTTTTTTGTATCTGCCCTGATTATCCCTTTGCTTAGCTGGTATATTTTGTCAACATTGCATTACTCCCACAAGACTTCAGGGACACTGTTCCAAGCAAGTGATTGTGACTGTCTATCCATGAATCAGTCCATCTACCCATTCACATGGATCTAAAATACACATAGTTCTCAGTATAAGTACAACCTCTATTCAGCCAAACATTTTATATGTGAGGTTCCCAACTTGATGGAAACTGATGGTAGCCTTCATGGGGGAAAGGGCAACCAAGAGATAGATATTTCTGCCAAGAGATTTAGTCTAGGAAGAGGGAGGAAAAGGGAGGACCTTGCCGTTGTAAACAGCCTCTGGAATCGAGCCAGACACAAGTTAAAATCCTGCTTTGTTACTTCAAATCTGTAAGACCTTTGCAAAATCATGTCTGTCAAGTTCTTTGCAGCCTAATGCCAGGCACAGTATGCTTAATAAACAAAATATGCTCACACTCAGGTTTGTACCAAGTGGCAACATGCAGAATGATCATATCAAAGAGAAAGCTTAGAAATAGACACAAGTGTAGTCAACATCTATCTTTTTCTTCCCATTCCCAATGTTCTCTGTCCTGAATAAAGTTTGTTAGCTCCTAAAACATCCACTTTCCCCCACATCTCCAGAGTCCTGCACCAGTGACCTCAGCAGCATACAGGAGACAAGGATTGCTAAATAATCATTCACCTGTCATGATTAGGGACCCCAAGGGTTTGCTCTCACCTAAGATTAAGACCAATGTGTGTTCCCCTTCTCTCTCAGTGCAGGTGCAGTAGAAATGTAACGCTATCTGTCTGTTTCACAAGTAGGGCCACAGACCACCTGTTAGCTTCTTTTACTTACCAGTATCTTCTCATCCACTTTGAGATTATTCCCAAGGATGATGCACATGGAACCCGTGCCTTAGGCTTTGGGCCTTTCCCTTGGGGACATAAAACCTTGTTGATCTGATGTCCAGAGCTGCACGAAGTTTACAATGTCTCCTTTCACTGAAACCTTTAAAATAACATCACCAGCGACAACCTCTACAGTGTTACAAGGCTGCAGCTGGAGGCTGGACAGAAATAGATATTCCAAGGAATAACATGCAGCCATGGGAATTCCAAGTGGAGAGAAACTCTCTATTTCTTGAAAGGTCCTCATTGCTCTTGGTCTGTGGCGATGTGTTTTAATTTTTTTTTTAAGTTACCAAACTGTTAAGTAGCTTTCAAGAATTCAACCATCGGGACAAATCTTACTCATGCTTTGGAATGTTGGCCAAGAAATATTAACAGTAGAATGGGCAAAAACATGGGGGATACCTGGCTCCTCCAGCCCACAGCTGACATTAATGCACTGTGTTTGATACACACTTCAGTTAAGGCAGTAAACAAACTTCACAGCCCAAGAATAATTTTGGATTACTTATTTCAACGAACACATTCCCACTGGGTTCCTACTGATTGTGAATTAATTTCACTCACATATCTCCCAGGGGGAATATCTTATGAAATTATCATATGCAAATTGTGGCTAATTTCCCTTTTTATTTATTTATTTTTATGTGAACCCGTTATGTTATGGAGCTTCTCCTATGGCATACCAATACGTGCCATTATGCCATGAGACCCCAAATAAAGAATTCTACTCTTGGGATTAGATTGTGAGTCTTGTAAATAAATGACTGGTTTTTTTCTTTCAGAATCCAAGAACCCAGAAGTATGAAGCTTTGTTCTTTGCATATTCATGTTTGCTTGGTGACTCAGACAGTATGGGAGGGGGGTATCATCATGTGGAATAAATTGCAGTATTGTTAGTCTCAACATGCAAAGTTATTCTATGATACCTAATTTCAATCTGTTATGCCTAATTAAAGCAGTGATAAAATGAGAAATAGAGAATCTGAATTTTAAATAAATTTAAAAATATATGAGGATTTTTAGAGAACTTAATGGTGCAAGAATTCCAAGTACAACAAATCATCCTGCTTAAAGACTCAGGAGTCTTCCGTGGCTTGTATGACTGACAGACAGCCCTCCTCCAGCCAAGCAGTCACATCATCGACAAAGGAGGTACTCTGTCTTAAAGGCAGCTTCCTGGGCTCTAGCTGGTAGATCTCATACTCTATCTTCAGGGGCTTGGAAAACCCAGGACCTAGTCAGCTCCCAGTTCAAATTTAATATCTAAATACTCAAGAGTTTCATGACAGTGTCTATCACACTCTAATTCAAGTGTGACAAGGCTATCTAAACTCTCACGACTACAGCCACAAAAAAAGATAGGCCTAGGGTTATTCATGACTGAATTGAGAGACAATTTTACTTGATAACACATTTCTATAAGTAAAATATCTAGTATGAATACTGTTACTTACCAAGGTACTGAGAGAGCTAATTCATTAGTCATCCAAAATAATTTCTGTAAAATAATGTGTTTTGTTTCTGGGGATAGTGTAGAGAAACTCCAAGTTGAATGTTTAAATATATGTGGTGTCAGTGGAATCTCTACCTAGTCTTCACAGGTCAATCGTGCTGTGACCTACATCAGTTTCACAACTTTTAGACATTGTCCTCAAGGCAGATAGTATCTTAATTTGGCTTATCTGCTCATAAGCTAAAATATGTAACACTCAAGGGTGTCTGGTAAAGACAAGGGCATCAGGACAGGCAAGTTGGCTCCATGAGTAAAGGTGCTTGCTGCTTAGCCTGATGGCCTGATTTATTCTAGCCTTGGGACCCGCATGGTGATTGGAGAAAACCAACTCCTGCAAGCTGTCATCTCCTGACCTCCACAAGCACACAAAACCCATGTCATTTAAAATGAGAGAAGGCGGGCTCCAATTCAATATCATCTGATATTTCACAGATGATAGAAATGAGCTGAGCATTCTGTACTGTGATTTTTAGCTAAGCCTTCCACACCGAGATCTTTAGTTAAGCTTTCCACACTGAGGTCCTCAGCTAAGCTTTCCATGCTGAGGTCCTCAGCTTAGTAACTAGGCAGCCAATTCTTGCCTGTGCTGAGTCCTTTGTTCAACTTGGCACTGCATAAGAATTTTATTTTCTTGAACTTAAAATAAATGTGGCTCAGAATCAGGCATATAAACTTACACACACACCCCACTCCCATGTCACCCTATGGAAGTGACCAGACAGCATGGAGATGCAGGGAAGGATTTCCAGGAAAAGAGACATTTCCTCTTGAGAAGGTGTGGCTACTTTGAGTCCTAAGCAATGGGAGACTCAGCGACCAGATGAAGCCCTGGCTGAAGTAATTAAGGCAAGTAGCTAATTAGAGGCTTTTGAAGCCTGTGTGGATGAAGGAAAAGAGCAGTAAAGGTGAGGCAAGCCACAATGCCAGACCTTTCTGACAAATTGCCTGCCTGGAGCGGAGAGGCATGAAGCTCTGCCAAAGAGAACTGAACCCTGGAAGGTTTCTGACGCCGAGAAAGGCCACAGGATTACTGCTGTGTAGAGGGGAGAAGAGAGGCTGGACATGGCCAGATTTATCCTTAACTCCCCACTGGCTTTAAACATAGTTCTTTAGTGTGCCCTCCTCTCTGTTTGTTGAGCTATTGGAATAAGTCGCTTCAAATATTAGCTTCTTAAACAAACAAACAAACACTGTGTAAATGTACCACATTTTCTCTATCCACTCTTCGGTTGAGGGGCATCTAGGTTGCTCCCAGGTTCTGGCTATTACAAATAATGCTGCTATGAACATAGTGGAACAGACATCCGTGTTGTATGAATGTGCATCTTTTGGATATATGCCTAAGAGTGGAGTTGCTGGGTCTTGTCGTAGACTGATTCCCATTTTTCTGAGGAATCTTCATACTCATTTCCAAAGAGGCTGTACAAGTTGGCACTCCCACCAGCAGTGGAGGAGTGTTCCCCTTTCTCCACATCCTCTCCAGCACAAACTGTTGTTGGTGTTTTTGATTTTAGCCATTCTGACAGGAGTAAATGAAGGGGTATTGGGGGGGGGTTGGTGGGAGTGTGTGGGAGGAGAGGAGGGAAAGGGAAAGGGACCTGGGATTGACATGTGAAGCAACTTTGTTTCTAACTTAAATTTAAATTTAAAAATAAAAATTAAAAAATAAATAAAAATAAAATAAAAAATTGTAAAGAAAAACAAACAAAAAAAACACGCAAAGCAACAGTGGCCATGAATGCTCCCTGACTTCCTCCTGACATTCTAGCTTCACAAAGCTACAAGAACGAATGAGATTCAGTGGAAACCATCTTTGAGTTTTGAATTTGGACTGTTTCCTGGACTACTGGCGGGTGGTACAATAGCACCTTTGGTGCCATGCACTGGCGGCAAGCTCAGCTTCCACAGCTCTCACACGATTGTGAGGAGAGACAGCCAGCCCTCTGTAGTATACTGCATTGTTAAGATGATTTATTAGGTAGGATAAGTGGGCTAAATGCAATGTCAGATTACAACAGCTTTATCAGGATACAGCCCCTCATAAGTCAAAGACCACAGATATGTAGTTGCTCACATAAATGGCGTGCCAACATATGCCTAAAGCCTGATCTGAAACACAGAAATGAGAAGGAAATGCTTAGCCTCACTCAGGTTATGACTTCATCTTCTCAGAATAGAAGCGTATGCCCAACACAGCCCCTTGAGAGATGACCCTCTGTCATTCTGAGTTGGTACCATTCTCCCGGGACATAGATGTCTGCTGGTGTTGAGTCAGACCTTTGGCCACAGCTCTATTATCTCTCCACCTCAAACCACAAAGAGGTTACATGCTAAACTCAAAAAATTTTCCTTCCTCCTATGAAATTACTATAAACTTCCAGCCTGGGTACAACTTGCTACATAGCCCTATCATGTTCTACCAAGCATGCTGGAAACTCTCCACAACCCTGTTACATTTTAGCCTGTTTGCGCATACATGATGCAGTTTAGGAAAAGTCAGTTTTAGACTTACATTCCCCCCAAAGGAATCCAGAAGTAAATCTGGGGTCATCAATAATCCTGAGATGCATGATGATAGAAATCTAAACACCACATGTATGTGTATAAAAAAAAAAGGTTATTTTTTTAGGAGGGGTGGTATATTTCTTTAATTCCAGCTCTTGGGAGGCAATCTGGTCTACATAGCAAGTTCCAAGACAGTCTGGGCTACATAGTAAAACCCCAACTAAAAAAATGTTTGCAATATTTTTAATAATTAAAAGTTAGAAAGCCAGGTATGATGGCCACAGATATATAATTCCAGAATTTTAAAAGTCATAGGAGTATATCATGAGTTTTACCTAACCTGGTCTTAAATTAAGAAAGAAAAATAAAATGGGGTGTGTTGAGTGTTTTTGACTTACCAGTATAGTGTTTGTCTAGCACATGCAAAATTTGTTTCATCACCAGGACTGGAAAATATGGAAAATAATCTAAATGTCTATCACTAAGGCAAGTTACTTATAAATTATAAAGAATCTATACCTTGTGTTGCACATCTTTGGAATAAATTATAAGAGAAGTACATATCAGATATGGAAAACCCTTAACACATAGTTAAATGAAAAACAAATGAAAAAACCCACACTGTGGGGTTCATGTTTTTCTAAATAATTGAAACTGAGATCATCAAAATTAAGCATTGTAGATATGAATATGCATTCCTAAGTGCATTTAAAAAATAGTCAGGGAGAATATTACCTATAGGGGGGAAGATGACAGAAAGACTTGGGTTTTCTTCTGTTGATATAGTGGCTGTAAAAAAACAGCCAACATGAGCTGGAGAGATGACTCAGTTATTAAATGCACTTGTTACTCTTACAGAGGACAAGGTTTGGTTCCTAGTGCCCACATGGTGATTCACAGTCATCCATTACTCCAGTTCCTTCTGACTTCTGCAGGCACACAAACATGCATGAGAAAAACACTCACATACATAAAATAAACACATCCAGGAAAGAAACAAATAATATGCATTATTCTATATTGCTTACTTATATCAAAAGTAAACTGTTGGCAGGAGTTAAATAATTCCTTACCGGTGGCCTCTTAATTCTTTTGTCTAGTCCCATCCCATTTGCTCTCTTAGCTTTCCAAACGTACAGATTTCTTTCCTATAGATGTATCAAGTCTTACTCAATAGCCTTCACTTATCTTTGACTTTAACGTACCTAGTAGAACTCTGCTACTATATGAGTGAGGTCAACAAAAGAGTAATAAATTTATTGTGTGCAGTGCACATACGCTAATTTTTTAGGCTACTGAAATAAAACAAAAACAGACTGAGAGGCGGAAACAATAGGAATCTTCTCTCTCTGCAATTGGGGGCTAGAAGAGCATCCGTTATTAAGCTGTTACATGGTTGGTCTCTCCTGAGGCCTCTGTCCTTTCTTTAAGATAAATGTGACTGTTTCCTGTGTGTCCTTCCTCTCAGGATACACACCCGATGGTCTCTTTCTTCTTCCCAGTTTCTTCTGCTTATGGTGGCACTGGGAAGATAGGATTCAGGTCCATCCTGACGGTTTAAGTTCAACTTAACTGCCCCCATAAGTGCTGTCTAAACACAACAATGCAATCACATTCTGAGATAGAAGAAATTAGGGTTTTAAGTTATAAACTTAGATGAGCTAAAATTCAACCATGGTAATGAGCTTTTTAAAATTTTATTTTTAAATTTAAATTAGAAACAAGGTTGCTTCACATGTCAATCCCAGCTCCCGCTCCCTCTCCCTCTCCCTCCCCTCCTCCCATGCCCTCCCACCAACCCTCCCATCTTACCTCCCCCAATCCCAACTCCTTTCCCCAGGGAGGGTGAGGC